CCAGAAATGTTTAGGGAATTGAAGGGGGCCTGGACTCCGTTTCCTGGGACCGTCTGGCCGGGTGGCCACTCATTCACCACTCCGGATGGATCTCCTCAGTACAGGAGCAGGGCCTCTTGCTGGGCTCCAAGGAGCATGTTGTTGTTTCTCAGCTCGCCAAAGTTCTCAATTCATCATCTCCAGCAACAGCAACTTCAGTGCAGCACAGGAAACAGATGGTGCCAGATCTTCTGCAAAGCCAAGTCTGAACACAAGTCATTCCATCCTTTTTCTGAGATAGGCTGTCACCACATAGCCCAGACTGACCTTGAACTCCTAGCCCTCTTGCCTCTGCCTCTTGAGTGCTGGGATTTTAGGCATACACAGCTGTATATGACTCAGCTACCTCCCCCCTCTCTACTAGGAATTGAACTTACAGCCTTTGAACATAACTTGCGTGTTAGGCAAGAGCTTTACCACTGAGCTCCATCTGCAAACCATTTAAAAGATGTAATGGGTCTTCTTGCTGAGTTGCCCAGTCTGGCCTTGAAGTTGCCTTGTGTCTTGTGTCATAGGTAGCTATGACCTCAGGCTTGAGCAGCAAGCCTGCCTTATATCTACTTTCTTATATCCAGCTTCACAATTACTGAATTGAACTTTTGATGAATTTTTTTATTTCCCAAGACAATGTCCTGCCTTATTTTTGATGTTTACATGTTAAAGGATTGGTCCCTAAACTGATATTATTGGGATGTGGACCTTTTGGAAGTGTGGGCCTCGGGGAAAGTCCTTAGTTCATTGTATGGATGCCTTCAAGGGGGACTGTGGTACCCCAGTCACTTCTTCCTTTCTGGCTCTAAGCAGTTTGCCTCTTGCTTCTGTTATAATGTGCTGCCCCTGCCAGAGGCCTAAAGCAATGGGCTTCCCAATCTTGGGTTGGAATCTCCAGAACCTTCAGCCACAATAAACCTTTCTCTTTATGAACTCATTATCTGAGGTATTTCATTGCAGGTGTAGACCTGACATATGAACCACACCTTCTCTCTGTAAAGCACCATGGGTTAGAACACTTAGATAGCTCTATGGAGTTTTATCTTGCTGCTAGAAGATTCATGGCCTGCCATTGCCCTTAGAAGTTGGAATCCTTGTTCATTCTGTGCTTTCACTTGACTCAAACCAAGAAGTCGTGTTCTGGTCTGATCCCTTCTCAGTAGGTAGTCTGTTTTTAGTTAGCTGTTTGTTTTCTGTCTGGGAATTCATTTTCATTTTATATTTGAAAATCTGAATTTGGTCACAGTCATTGGTTCTGTCTGTGCATACATGAATGTGTTTTTATACTACTTTTGCCCAGCAGTTAGTGAGGCTTCCATCAGTGAACAGATGTTTTCTCTCATCGTTTTTTATTAATGCTTTGATCTATTTTACTTTGCTTTCACAGTCTAGTAATTCAAAATGGGGTACAATGATGAACCTCTACAATTTCTCTGAATTGCCATTTCTTTGTCATTTGTATTTGTTATAGGAGAATTCTTTAGTGTGAACTTTTAATACATGGATTTGTTTTTCAGCCATGTCCATCTTAATCTTGTGACCTTTATTCCTGGGTATAAATTTTTCATCTTGTGATCATGCCTTTCTGTTTACCGGAATTCTATTTCTGTTTGCTCTGTATCCTCTTGAATGTCACAGGGATAAGTTGACGTGTTAAATCCATTCCCTATGTTGACTATTTTATTGGTGGCTGCTGTATATAATTTGCTTAGTTTGGATTTCATGTTTTGAACTACTGTGTTTTTCATAGAAGCAGTGAATCTTTGTTGTTTGCTTATATATTTTTAATGAAGTTCTAAAGTATTAAGTCATTTGACATGAACTACATCAGCAATTGGGTGGGTCATTAATGATAGTTTGGGGTTTAACATCAGTTTTCCATTATATGGGATATCTTCTTTCTGTTCTTTCTCCTTCACTCTGGTGTTCATTTGTGTGTATTCGTGTGCACGTGGATGTTGCATCAGTTTGCGTGTGGTCAGAGGACAGCTGGTTGAAGTTTGTTCTGTCTTTCTACTATGTTGGTCTTGGGAATGGAACCCAGGTTGTTGGACTTGGTGGTAAAGTAAGTGCCTTTACCCACTGAGCCATCTTACTAGCCCCTGACTATTATTTTGATAAGTTGTTTTCTGGTTCTTTTGTAGATTCTTTGTACTTTTCCTCCCTGTCAGTATTCCTTTGTGATTAGATTTTGTTGTCTTGTTTGTATCTTGAGGTGGCTTGCTTAAAACCTGTAATGGATGACCTGGAGTCTGGAGAGGCTAAAGAAGTGTTGGGATGGGCCTGGAACCTTGAGTCTACAAGGCGTGGTGCTGAGGCAGCCTAAGGGCCTATTTTGCATGAGGAAACCTTGTGGGTCTAACTTTGGGTCCTGGGACTATGGGATCCAGAGGTGATCTGGAATCTTGATGCTGTGTCTTGGTCTACTCACATCTACTGGGATAATGAGCATGGATCCTGAATGCACCAGACTGTGGAGATTAGCTTCAGGGCTGCACCATCCGTAGATAAGTCTAGAGCCAGCGTCCGCATTTCACAGCCTGATTTCTGACTTCAGTAGATAAGTCTAGAGCCAGCGTCCGCATTTCACATCCTGATTTCTGACTTCAGAGGTTACTTGGTTCTGGATATTCCTAGAAGTGGTGACAGGGCTGGCCTGGAACCCAAAGCTTGGTTGTTGCTGGGTGGACCTGGACCCTGTTTCTGTGAGAGTATAGATCGCTAGGTGTAAGCCTGATAACTGGGGTCACGGGACTGCCCTGGACTTTGTGCCAGAATAGGACTGCTCCCTGTGGCCATGGAGGCCAGGATGACCTGGATCCTGAGGCTGCTGGATTGGGCCTAGAGTTTTAGTCTAATTGTCTTCCCTCCTACACCAAAGTAGGTAGTTACCAAAATGCAAAGGTAAGCTTTGCTCTTGGTGAAGGTACACAAATGGACTGCTCGTGATAAGTCAGTGGTTGAGACGGAAGTAACAAACTCCTGCCCTGAGGTTGTGAAATCCTTGGGGTAGCTATTGCAGTTCATTTTCTATTGCTGTGACTGAATATCAGATGAGGTAACTTAAAAAGGTTCGGAGGCTTATTGAGTCGTGTCAGCATCCACTTGGCATCTGGTTAGAGCCTTCTTGGTATGCCATTGTGTGTCAGGGGCATCACATGGTCAGACAGAGCAAGCTTGATGTCTTCAGTTTTTCTTCTTACAGGTCCGTGAATGCCATCATGTGGAACTTATCTTCAGACCTGATTTAATCCCCCCTAAAGATCTCCCTCAAAATACCATTGCATGGACAAGATTCTGGTACTGATGTCAGTGCTAGTGGGGGGTTGGTAATTATCTCTGGGATAATTGAAACATTATAAGGCTCTTCTGGAAAGTAATTTGGCAGAAATAGTCTTCTATATGACTGTTCTCTTTGGCCTACTCTCCATATTTCTAGATGCCTACCTTGAGGAATTGGGGTAGGAGGTCTGTGTTTATATTCAGAGCTTCTCACTGTCACATAGCTTACAATGGGTACAAGTTGGAAGGAATTTGCTTGAATGTCTTTTTTTTTTTTTTTTTTTTTTGGTTTTTCGAGATAGGGTTTCTCTGTAGCTTTAGAGCCTGTCCTGGAACTAGCTTTTGTAGACCAAACTGGCCTCAAACTGGCCTCAAACTCACAGAGATCCGCCTGCCTCTGCCTCCCGAGTGCTGGGATTAAAGGCGTGCGCCAACACTGCCCGGTTGAATGTCTTTTAAGAATAGTAAACCATGTCAGTATGACATGGAAAAACTCCCATGACACACTTTAAATGAAAAAATACAGAACAACAGTACATATCAAACATGATCTTTATTAAAAAGGTAGAAAAATACTATCTATATATGACTTTAAAAGCCAGAGATAAATGGTAAGATTCTAGGTGAATTATGTTTTCTTTTTAAACTTGTCTGTAACTAAAATTAGTAGGGAAAATATAGCTAAATAAAGGCTATGCTACTTTCCTCGGAAATGCTGCAAGTCTGAATAACTTTTGTAATCAGAAATGTTGTCAAAATGTCTCTAGATACCACACATTATACCAAAAGATTGTCATTTTTCATAATTGATGGGCAAAAAGTGGTGTCTGTCAGAGCTGAATATAGGGGTTATCATCACCATGCAAGTGAATTTTGAATTCTCCAGCTTTCCACATTGTGTAGTGAACACTGCCGTTGCCAGAACTAGCATATGAACTCCAGCCTGGCCCATCTGCTGCTCGGGCTGGGCTTGGCTGACACAGATTTATTTCATTTCGTTCCTCTTTCTCATTATCATAGCTGAGGTTCAGTGCCAGTGCTACTGACTTCATTACCTGTTTGTTGTTTTCCTTTTGTTCCGTTTTGTGAAATGAAGATGGCAACAATGGGGACTCTGTCTCTGGAGATGCAGCTCTTGTCCTGTGGGGTCTTGATCATGTCTTGCTAACTTGCTCCTGCTTCTAATACAGAGTATTTTGATTGTTTTGATAAGTAGAAAGCACCATGGTTTTTTAAAAAAGGATTTAGCGTTGCTTTTCCCAGCCCCACCCCCACCAGAAGATTTGGAAACAGTTCCAAATAGAAAGTGTAAACACTAGCCTTAAGCTAAGCCCTCTCCATCTGGTATTGGTGCATTTTTTTTTTTTATGCTGAAGGCTCCTGCTGTTTGCTTAATCTTCATCAGTGTTGCAGAAACATGAGGGGTGAGACTTACCTCTACCCCAAGCACCTTACTTAAGAAGGATTTTCCTCTGCCTTGGTTTGTATTTCAAAGAGCATAGGGATAGTCAGCCAGACTGCTAGGAATTTGTTCAAGTGAAACTTTAGAACTATTAGAACCATCTTAGAGATTTATTGGATGGATTTGTTAGGATAGGATAGCTGCTGCCAGAGAATCCTCTCTGATCCTGACACTATTTATTTTCAAAGATGCTCTTTGTAAGACTTTGTTCTACTTTCCTCTCTAGGTTACCCTGAAGAGACTTATCCAGTGTATGACCTTTCCGATAGTATCAAGCGTAGGCAAGAAACAATCCTGGTGGATTACCCTGATCCAAAAGAGCCCTCTGCTGAAGAAATAGCTGAACGAATAGGGGTGATGGAAGAGGAAGGGTCAGAGCATTTGAGCTGGAATCATTTGCCCACTGACCCTGGAGCCCAGGAAGATAATTCTGTTACCCTGTGTGATCCTAAACCAGAATCATGCTCCTGCTGTTTTCATGAAGAAGAGGATCCTGCTGTCTTGGCAGAGAATGCTGGTTTCAGTGCAGATGGCTACAGTGAGCAAGAGGAAGCCACCAAGGAAGACTGGTCCCAAGACTTCACAACTGAGGGGTTGGGAATCAGCACTGATAACACACACATGGGTGGCATGTTGAGGAAGCGCAACCTCCAGAGTTTAGAGTGAAAGCAGCCTGTTTGATGATGTATCCATTACTCTACTCCCAAGGTATCTTTCCTTAATTTCATCCATGGCCCTGTGCCATCTGTATTCAATAGCATTGTTTTGGGCCACTACCATGGATATTATTTATCCTTCCTGGTGCTTGCTCACCTGTCACCTTGTAAAGTAGACATTAGCGTGAACACAGGACAGCATCATCTCTTCTTGCCTTTCTGCATCAGAGACACTAACTCATTAGGTAATTATACTTGTTTGATTGTGCCTGGAGGTGGTATCACCTGTGCAAAGATCTGATCCCTTCACATAGGGGTAACAGAAGCTTTACCTATGAATGAGCATTGATTAGCAGATGTTGGGGACTTAAGGTTTTGAAAATGAAGATTATAGACTCCCAAATGCCTTATTCTTTTGAACTTGTTAGTAGTCCCCCAAGAAGAGCATGCTCAATTGTGAGGATGAGGGGCCCAGAGCACACAGCAAGACAGCTGACTGAGCTGTAGCCTCCCCTCAGAACCTTCTAGGTTAAGATATCCCGGCTCCTCTGGAGTACACACGACTATTTGGAGACCATTTTGCACCTTGATCTCTAGCTTCCCATGTCCTTACTCTGTTGAACAGAATTGCCAATCCAGAAGTACCTTTATATGTCCGGTCTGCGGCTAGGGGAAATTTGAGGCTTAAGTCTGAATCCTACAAAGCTGAAGTTTGAGGCTGTTGAAGCTCCAGGATGGCCTAAGTATAGTGGTCCTTCCATGAGGGGTTCAGGGGGCCAAGGCTCCATGTCTTTGTGAGGCAGGATGAAACCTGTGAATCCTGACAAAGGCGAGTCAATTCAGTTCCATGCAAGACCTGCAAGTTGAAAGAAGGTGTGTCTGCAAGGACATGCCCAGCCATGAAATAGGAAGCCCAAAAGTTAAGGAATTCTGTGAAGTTGGATACAGTCTTTAGAGCTCTACTGTGCCTGGTCTGAATATGATGCCAGAAAACAGTGTGGACCACTCAGGAACACACTGGCTGCCATCAGAAGGTATGGGGCCACACCAAGATAATCACTACTACAAAGCTTTACGTGTTTGGTGAACTAGAAAAGGCCCTGGATATTGAGTCTGGAAATGGACTGCACTGCACTGATTCCTGTATAGAACACTGATTGAAATGGTGAAGAATGCAGTTAGCGTGGACTAAAGAGTCTTGGTGTAACGAAGTGTAAAAAGCAATGTAGGTACTCTTGTTTTGCAAACTGTTTTCTGTGTGGGTCCCCATCCACTGTGTGAAGTTGATTTAGGATAGCCCCGTGTTCTCACTTTTGTCCATAGGATACGATCTCCTTATCACAACTTGTTTCTCTCATTCACTCATCTGACAGTTGCCTCATGCCGAGTACAAAAAGGTTGAGTTTGTATCTTAAAGAGTTCCAGTTTACTATGGGAGTTTGACAGATGCACCGAAGACTATAGGAAGGCTCAAGATTGTGGATTCTTTGGGCACAGAAAACTGGGTCCTGATGCTTCCCTGCGACTCTGCCTGTAGAGTTCTGGATTGGCTCCTCAGGCAATCTGAGCCTGGTGTGGGCATCTGTAAAGTGAGGGTTGTAAAACGCAGGTCTCTCAGGGTCTTAAGCTGTAAATGAGCTAGTCGGTGTGCCCAGGGCAGCCTAACAGGCTCAGGCATGATAGAATATCACGTGGCAGCTATTTTATTACAGTGTGGGCCCAAAACTACAGGACCATGCAAGAACAGGAATGCTTTTCCCAAAGTAGCAATAAATTTCCAAAGAGACTTTATGTCACACTAAGAACATGGGCAAGGAAGAGAAAGGACATTTTGGCAGAAAGAGTGGGTTAGCAAGAACAGTGGGGTGTGTAAATGGGTATTCAGCTAAAAAGTGTTACAGAGTCAACTCTGTTATTATTGGGGTGAGCTATGGAAACAGTTTCTGCCAAAAGGACCAATTAAGGTTCTTGCCACTGTAGATATTAGTTTGCATATAGGAATATATTTGTCTGTATATACCAGAAACTTCAGTGTACCTTTCAGTAATTTAGAATGTAGGGTTTTTTTTTTTTTTTAATTTTCCAGAATTGTATCCTTTGGATATGATGGTTTTACATGTATATCCAACCTAGGGGGACCAGCATCAAGGGATTGATTTTTATTGTGTTATTCATGTCTCGGTATTAAAGGCTGCAGACTTCATCAAGGCCTTGCTATTAGGTTTGTAGTGACCCCTGGGGCACTATAGCAGCAGCTGGCCTAAAAAGCCACTGCATCACCTAGGGCCATGCTTGGTAAATAAAGTGGATGATCAGCCAGATCTCTTCACAGTGTCATGGTAGGAAACAGGACAGTGCCTCATGTAGTGCTCAGGGACTAGGTCCAGAGGTGTGCTGAGTGGAGATGGATGTAACCTCTAAAGTTCTTTGTACCTTAGACTTAGGTGATAAAATCATTCATGGTCTACACTCAGACACTTTGAAAAAAGTAACTTATATACACATGGCATAATATTTTCTTATCTCTGTGACCAAATACTCAGCGAAGGCAACTTAATGCAGGAAGGGCGTATAGTGTGTGAACAGTCCTTTCTGGCAGAGGGGCCGTGAGGACTGGTTCAGTCAGGGAGCAGAGAGAGATGGACACCAGCACTCGGTTTGTTTCCCCTTTTATTCAGTCTGGGACCCCAGCCAATGGGATGCTGCTGCCCACAATGAAGATGGGTCTTCCTCCCGACTGAACCGTCTTGTAAACTGTCATAGACAGGTGTGTTTCCGTGGTATTCTAAATCCCATCAAATTAGCAATTGAGATTAACCATCGTGGCAACAGGTTTAAGGCAAGATCTTCCTGGACATGTGTTCTACAACTTTAGGATTTTTTATCAACCTGATAAGTGAACAAGACCCTTTCTCCTTTTAGAACATCTTGTATTTGGTCTTCCTCACAAAGGCAGAAGCTAAAGTGCTAAAGGAGCCAGATCATGGTTCAGGCAGGGACTGCTTTTAATCTACATGAGTGAATAAGTGAACCCTAATCGATCTGCTCTCCACTTTCCCTTTATCTAGACAGTTTGTATCCACAAAGAATATTTTGTGTGCTACCTGTTGAGCAGTGATCAGGAAGACCATGAACCAACTATCCTGCAGCCTTAACCGTCAGCATGTCTAAAACATACCTTCTAGTAGCAAGGTAACAGGCCATTCCTTCACTTCATAGGGCACCAGTTCCCTTGTGGATGAACTGGGCAGCATGTCTGCCTCCTAGGACTGTTTGTGGAGTGTCTATCCCACAGTGAGATGTGCAGTGGGTGCTTAGCACCATCACTGCCTTGAATCTCTTGCTGCTCGGCTGCCCCACTTGACACTCTCTCTGAGGCCACTCTGGATGCCAGAATTGGTGCAGGTCACTCTATTGGGGGGGGGGGGGGTTGGCTTTAGGATGACTTCCTTCAAGAGTAGATATTAGCTTTGATGCCTGATGCTTGTTTTCCTGTTTAAATGGTTCCAGCTCTGACCATGGCCTAGAGTGACGTGGCTGGGCCTTTCCCACCCTTGACTCCTATATCCCAGTTCTGTCCACAAGGACCATGCCCACCAGGTACACTTAGGAACTGTTGGCCAGTTCCTTTAGGGTGACCCAGATGACACTGAAGTATCATTTTTTGCACACTGTGGATGTGATACCAGGGAGAAGACAGTGTTGATCTGGATGTCACTGGTTTTAAACACACACTGCATCTTTTTGTTGCTATCACCCACCTGACCCTTTGAAGCTCCTAGGAATGAAAGGAATGGAGAACATTTTTAAAAGAGACAAATTTTCTCCCTCTGTGAAAAACAAGGACACAGCAATCAAACAGTTCAAGTTTAATGTGTTGATACATGTCTGTATTTAGACAAACACTACATTCTACAACATACATAATGCCATTATGGGAAAATACCAAGTTTGTCATTGCACATACAATAAATAAATACATTTGCTTCAGAATACCAAAAAGTTTATTCAAAAAGTCACTTAATAAAAGCACAGTTTTGCAAGTTTGTCTAAAACTCCAGATAATTTTAAACAAAAATAAAATGTCTGACAACTCCAAAATAGGAAAAGACAATCATGTGCAAATCGACAAATCGACATACATGTTCTAGGCGTTGTGAAAACTGGCTAAGTGTGCTCCCAGCAAGAGAAATGCTGCCTGTCCTCACCAAGCTGGAGCTGGGCTTCCCCTTGTATGCTACTCTGAGGTGCTCTATAGAAGACCCTAAATTTTAGCCTCATCTCCAGCTCTACCTGGACCTTAGTGGGGGAGGAGGGGGAGGAGAACAGAGGAGAGGGGTGCAGTATCTTTCTTTGGGAAGAAAGAAGGCACAGTGATGAGCTAGGAAAGGTAGTGATGAGATCAAGGGGTAACCTTCGCTAACCAAGCTTTGACAGGCCTGCATCTTTATCTTGCAGGTAAAGAGACAGACACAGGAATATGTAGTTTGCTCAAATGTGCTAGCTGCTATAAATGCAGTTGTATACTCCTGGACCAAGTTACCTCTGTGCTGAAAACCCAAATGCATCCCAGTACTTAAGATCTTGAAATGACAGAAAATTGCAAGCTGGAAGTGAATAAGGGCAGGTGGCCAAAAACTAAAGTAAGAATCCATCCCATGGCCTGTTCTGGAGACTAGAGCGGGTCTACTAGCCAGAGCCTAGGGCAGTGTAAGGTCCCAACTCTGCAGGGCAGTTGGGCCCCAGTCACAGTGCCAGGCACCACAGAAAGCATGTTTTGATGGCACCTGGCATCCTGCAGTCCCATGAGGGTATCACAGCTGGGGCAAGGAGTACAGAGAAGGGAAGGCCAGGGCTGTTACTGAGGGGAAGGCAGGCTGTTCACTAAGGAGATGGGTGTTGTGCTTGCAGAGCAGAGCTGTGGAAGTAGCTCCTCCCTGCAGACCCCATCAGAGCAGTCGACCCTATGCTCACACTTAGAACTGCTCTACTTCTAAATAAAGTTTGGAGGCAAATACCTTGCCATTTCCAAAAAGAAGGAAAAAATAAACCACTTCTACAATGTTGTTGCTCATCAATGAAGAAGGGAGGTTTACCAGAAGTTCTCTTCCAGCCTGTCATCACACATCTTGGCTCCCAACACCTGTCTTCCCATAGGCATGAACCTGACCTGCTTCCTCTTAGTGTCAAGATTGTTAAGGCACCATCACTACACCATCTCAGCTCCTCCTCCAGTGAGACCGACCCTACATTTCCTTGATAGTCTCCTGCTTGGGACCATGGAAGAAAGCACGGAAAGAAGGGACAGAATCCACAGTGGTCACAACTGCCTCCTTTTTTTCCTACTCAAACATAATCTTAAACTTCTGTTGGTTGATTGCAGATTGCCCTTTCCTCCAGACACATGTGCACACGCACACACACATACATACACACACACACACACACAGACACAGAGCACCTTGGAGCCAGAAGGACAGAAAAAGCGAGACTCGGACTTGGGGAAGCTAACATCACCACTCTGCAGAGGAAGTGTTTTGGAGCAGAGGGTGGAGAGTTTTAGGGTAGAGAGCCAGTAGCATACAGAGGAGCTGCCTAAGGTTCCAGCTGCCCCACATTTACAGACTGTTCACTCATCCCACCATCAATGTGCTGCCTAGCCAAGGACCAGCTAGGAGGAGAGGGTGTGAAAGGTAAGAAAACGTTACTATGGGAGAGGCTGAACCCAGGGGACCCCAGGGCCCTGGTGGTTGAGGTCCATGGGCCTGTGCTCAAGAAAAGGCAATGTCACCAGGAGCCGAGTCCCAAGGCTGGTCTGAAGCAGGTGACTCAACTGCTCTTGTCACTCAGTGCCCAACAACGGGTCTTGTGCTGAGGCTACCTTTCTCCACAGTGGGCCTATTTCCTGGTGCAACCAATTTATATTCAGGTAGCCAACACCCTCTTTTGTGTGCTAAAGCAGAGAGCGGAGGCAAAGAGTTTTCCATTGTGCTTCCAGTTTCACCGCTACCACCAGGGTCTCTTCGACACTATACTCCAGAATCAGCCTGTTCAACCTTAAAACTGTCATCCCAGAGAAAGAGCTTGACTAGAATGAAGATCTGGTTCCTACCACTCTAACATCAGATTTCTCCTTATCACGAAAGGGAGGGAGGGGACAGATGGCACTGTAATCTTTCAGGAGCTAGGCCAGCCCCAGCACAGAAGTCCTGGTGCGCTCAAGACACTAGACTGTAAACAAAAGGCTAACTTACTGGAAGGTCCTCTCATGGAAATGTATGGCTCAGGTGTGTCAGGTCCTGCTATAGCAGTTGTACCTTGCTTAGAAGGAAATAGGAAAATCCAGGGGTTTTTTCATAAGTAATGTTTCCATTGACTTCAATCCAGCTTCCTTGCCTTAGAGCCTCATTTACATATTCAAAGTATAACTTTACTTTTTTAGTTTCTACTTAGCCGTTCTGAGCATATCTGTTTTAAAGCAATGTCTAAAAGTTCTTTGCTTCCCAAGCCCACCAGATGAGTGGTGCCATCCAAGGAAGAGTGGCAGTGGAGGGAATGAACCCAGGCTGCCAACCACATCTACACAGAAAGTGTGCAGTGGCCCTGCTGAGGTCTGTGCACAGCTTGAAGCCCTCAGAGAGGGCCAGGCACAGGTCAGATCCAAACAGACAGCTTTCAACAGGGAACTGCCTGATGCCCTACTGAAAGGTTTTCAATCTTAGATATTGACTCCGAGGTCCTAAGTCTCTGGAAATGGGAAGGGAAAGGGTATGCAGAATGGACCACAGAAGGCCAGGGTCTAATTTCTGGGTAACAGTAGGAACAAAGGAACTTGAGGTTCTGAACTCTGCCGTTAACCAGTTAGGTAACCAAGAGACAAGTCCCATGTTCTCAGGGATGAGCATTGCTTTTGATGAGCCATACCACCTCTGAGTGCTGGTGGCCCTAAAATACCACGTTCCATTCCCCCTAAGATTGCCCTCAGTGCTCTGGGCATGCTGGCCACAATGGGAGCTGGGTCTTCCGGAGAGGACATTCTTCCTGAAGCACGGTAACCTCTACCCTACACGTGTGTCCTAGGAGTTGTGCTGGGGCTGTTCAACATCGGAGAGCCCTACTGTAGGGGAGCCTACTGGATGACTCCTGTAACCCCCATCCACTCAGATATTTGGCCTTGAGAGCTGGGTTCTTGCTTCTGGAAGCAACCAATGAGCTACCACTCTAAGCCGCCAGCTAATTTGCACAGCCAGTCCCCTGAAAGCCTAGCAGGGTCCTGCCACTCACCTAGCCCCACTCCCAACTTCCCTTAGGCCTGATGATCCCTTCTGAGGTGGGAGTACTTTCTGCTGACCACCAGGCCCTTCGCCACATAAAGCTACGTGCCCTATACATACGCATGCACTCCTGGGATACCCGTTGTCCTCTGACTTGTAGGCTGAAGTGGATGGCTGGGCCACAGCAGCCCTGCCTGTGCTTCCCCTTCCACTGTACCTCCAGCTGAAGAGGCTACCCCGTGTGGTAAACACAACTGTGGCAGGGGACTGACCCAAGATTGGTTATGTGTGTTGACCTTGGGGCACAGAAATACTCTTTTCCCTTCATACCCATTTGCTATCCCCCTGCTTCAGCAGCAGAGGCAGAGCGCCAGTTTCTGGTTGGTAAGGCCAGAAAGCCCTCTGAGGGCCTATTAACAGGGGAGGCAGAGCTGTCTCAGCGGGCAGGCAAGCTCCACTTCAGACCGGGCCACCCTAAAGGCAGAGGAGGCCTCTACTCGCAGGCCAGCTTGCTGTCAAAGCTGGACAATGCAATGGCAAAGGCCTGCAGTGCACACAGTGGGTAGTTGTAATCCATGGTGAATACATCTTCTGCTACCCGGCCAAACTGCATGACGATGTAGTCCGCTGTGGCCATGCACAAGCATGGATGATGAAGACAGGAAGAACAGATAAGACACAAGAGGGTAAAGGGGGGAGATGCACACAGACAGCAAGGGGTAGGGGAAAAGGACATCCATTTAAAAGGTGTTTCCAAGCCCCAGAATCTGGGGCTGGGGCTTTGATCACTACAGCTAGAAAGTTCTTTCTAATAAAAGCCATATACCCACATCCCGTTACTCTGGCTGGTATGGACCGAGGAGTGTGGGCTAGGCATCAGAGGTACAGTGCCAATACGGGGGGGGGGGGGGGAACACAGTGATACTCACGGTCATTGCCGTGGATGATCTGGAAGTTCTTCACAGAAGCCTGTGTGACGCGCCCATGGAAGTTGAGTACATAGGACTGTGTGTCATCATTCCAGACTGGGGTCTTGTTTTGCAGCTCAATGATGGTCTCTGTGTTCTTGTTCTGCCAGCGTGCTAGCAGTGTCTCATGCTCCTGGTGGCAGGGAAGTGGGGACAGCTGTACTTGAGCCAGACCCCAGCCTTGGCATCACATCCACCCAAAGGGAGATCTTACCCAGTTCCCTAAACATCCAGGGTTTCTTAAATTGTATCCCCTACACAAAAACCTTGGGGGAATTCTGCCCTTAGAAGCTCATTCAGAGGCAGGGGCCCGGGGAAGTGTTAGAGACTCACGTTGCGGGGACGGATACAGACTCTCTCATGAACCATGTTCATGCCTGGGACAATCACACTCATCTTCCGAGGTCCCTTGAAGCCTAGGACATTTGTCTCCTGGGAAAACAAGAGAATTTAGTACTGGCTACCTCAAATTGCTTATCCCTGGGGAAACAGCCAAGGAGGTCAAGAGGAATAAAATGTCTGCAACATCTATACTTAATAGTCTAGTGGTCACCTCTAAAGGTAGCACAGCCTGAACTCTCATTTACAGCCCAGCTTGCTTCAGTCCGTGGCGGCTCAGCACTTAGATCCGCTCACGCGAACTGGAGTCTTAATACTTCACTCTCACACCCATTCCTAACCTATCCACGGTTTCCAGATAACACCAGAATCTAAGGTCACCAGACAGCCACTAACGCGACTCCTTGTTCCTGCCCTGGGCCCCCAAGGCTCTTCTCCCCACCATCTGGTCTCAGCACAGCACCCTGGTTGACAGTCCTAGTAAAGGGTATGTTTTCTTCCCCGCTGAAACTCTTGCTCTATCTCCAGGGCTTACTGATTCGGCCCTTGTCCTTAGTTTCCTTGCTGGCTTAAGTCTCTTCTGAAATCACCCTGCCCTCCTCAGACATACACACAGCTGGTTTTCAGGTCTGATCTTTACTCAAGAGTTACCTTGCCGTCCCTGCTGTCCCTCCTAATGGTCCACACACACCTTGGCATTTCATATATCCATATCTCTAACTTGATTTTTAGCTCTAAGTATTTATCAAGAACGTACTTATTTCACTTACATCTGTCATATGGCTTGTCTCTCAATAAGGATTTAAATGCCATAAGGGTTTGTTTCTATTTCCAACGTCCTAAGTCTTTTCAGCAGTACCTGGAATGTAGATGGGCTCAGGCTGCTTCTCTAAATTTGGCCAGCAGGTGGCACTATGGGATCATCTGAAATGGCTATGGAGTCCTAATAGTCTCTAAGTATCCCTGCCCAGATTCCCAGGACACCCATCCTTCACTTTGGTAAATGAAGAAACCAAGTTTGTAACAGAGCATGCACTTATATTTATGTTCCAGTCCCGTCCTGGTTGGTATAATGTTAGCAGATGCCCCACCTCTAAGCTTCAGTTTCCAGACCCCAGAGGGAACAGCATCTCTGTTCCGAACTGACTCTGAAAGGGCCCTGGTCCATGCAGTGCCTGGCACTGCAACTGTAGCACGGAGCTGTGAGTAAAGTCCAGAAAGGAACTTAGGCATCCACTTCCTCCTGGTGAAGAGCATCCTGGGTCAGGCTGCAGAGCCAGGGATGGTTCCCCGAGATCCCTAGGTAGTTAGCCTGCTGTTGTCAGCGCTCTGAAGACAGGTAGGGTCTAGGTCCCTGTCCCATACAGGGTCACTCTATAGAGGACAGCCCTTTTAGACATAGCCTTGACTATCCGTCAAGATAAATGGGTGGTCCCCACCCCAGTCAGGCACCGTGGCCTGAGTTTCATGTCTGCCTAGAAACCAAGGACTCACATAGCACACAGCTGCCAGCTCCTGGCGCAAAGTTCCACTTTCCAGCGTAGAAGATGATGCCTTCTGAGGGTTGATGCCATTGTCATAAACAGTGAACTTGGTGCCCATCAGGTTGGACCTGAAGAAAGGCACAATCAACAGGCTTGTATACCTCTCCCCATGCCGTGGCACAGCCTGTTCTCTTACAAGAAGCCTATAGAGCATTATGGGATGGACCAGGGGCAGACCTGGGACACTGTGGAGTTACCCCACAAGCAGTCAACTCTAAGTCAACTAAACTCAAGGGGCGTCTCATTTCAGTGAAGGAAACTCAAGGAGTCAGTGTTCACAGGTTTCTATGAACCATACGAGGGGAGAAGGGCACTGATTTTTCTGGAAAGGAAGCAGAGTGGCATCTAGGAGGCCAGAGAAGGTTCTGCACCTCACAGAGAAAGGCTGTCTCTGTCCTTTCCAGGGCTATGTTCAGCTTTGGTCACTCATGTCTCCACTTACTCGTCCTCAATGAGACCTCACTTCTTCAGGGCTTCTTTGCAGCCCTGTCCCTTGGCTATGACCAGTGGGCCAAAGCAACTTTTCCATGATGCCTGCATCAGCATCAGCGTCCTGGTTTGACCCATCACTCATGCTGAGCCTGTGCTCAATACCTTGGGACAGCTTAGTCCTGTCTGACTCAAGGCATAGACTAGCCTGCTGATGGACTTGATGGAGAAGATACTCAGAGATTTCGGAAGACTTTCTGGCCCCTCCCTCCCTCGCCTGGAAGAGCACTGGTACCGCAATTTCCCAATATAGCTGTCGCCTCCCCGAGACAAGTCTGTCGGGTCCACAGAGATGAGGTAATTGGAAGTTTTGCTCTTCTTTCTCTTCCTTCCCGCCAGGAGGAATACCTTAAAGAGTAAAGCAATTCACATTCCAGATCTAGCCTCTAGCCCATAATTATGGTGGTCACCCACACATCTGGGCTCACACACAAATGGTCACCTTGCTTCCTCTCCCCCAACATAGCTATGCGTGCACACAAGTACAAGGACCGACAAACCCAAGTCCATACGAAATACTATTTTCCCTGGAGAACTGAGGCCGGAGTCAGAACTGAGTTTCCCTCATATTCTAGCCTCCCGGCCTTCAACTGAAAACACATGCCCAGAGGAACTCACCTTCTTGCCGTCCTCACGGTCTAAATGCAGAAAGTAGGTGGGGTACATGCCCCGGTCCATCCCCTTCTTGTCCCGAGTGATGCGGCATTTGACAGTGATCCCCTGTGGGGCTGGCCTCAGAGCAAACTCCTCTAGATCCTGGACCTCAATCTCCACTGGTGGCTCTGGGGCTGCTGGGCTGGGGGCTGAGGCTGCCTCCTATGGAGAGGGAGAGTAAAAAATGAACTCAAAAGGCTCTCCACTCCAGACTGGTGGTCTAGAAGAGTGTGCCTCCTAATTCAGTGTGGGGAAGGAGAGGGAGACCAGGATCTCGAAATGTAGATGTGGCTGCCGTGACCCAGAGTGAGGAGCTGTCCTCTAGCCTCTTCCTTTCCTCAGCAGTTGCTGGAGGTGAAGGCAGGGATAAGGGCAGTCTCTCAGGAGGGCATCCTGTCCAAGTCCAGCTCTCCCTGCATCCTGGCCCTTTGATCTTGCTGAAGAGACAGGGAGCACAGCGGAGAAGCAGAAGAGCCCAGCTTTAGAGCCTTCATCTGGACACCTCACCCAAGGGAAGCCAGCAGCTCATAATGTTGACACACACAAACTACCACCTCATATTCTAGTCTATCAACTTGACGTAGCATAGTCAAGGGGTGAAGAGGCTTGTGCTTGCCCAGACCAAACTCATCTGTGGCCATGTCTATGGTGGTCTTGATGTGAGAGGGCCTGGCCCACTGTGAGTGACACCATCCTTGAGCAGGTGGGCTCGGGCTGTATAAAGCTAACTGAGCGTGAACCTGAAGTGAGTGCGCCAGCAAGCTGCGCTCCTCCAAAGGTTCTGCTTGAGTACCCTCGATGACAGATGTGACAGCATAGGCCAGATAAACCCTTTCCTCACCAAGATGCTTCTGGTCAGTGTTTCTATTCCAACAGGGAACAAATTAGAACACCACCCACCGGCAGACCTGACCACTGATGCCAGCCTCCTACAGGGGATAAGGGCTCCTCCTCTTCACTCACCTTGACGGACTTTCTGCTGGTGGCAGAGCTAGGGCGGGTGTTGCTGTTTAGCTGGGAGGAGCTAGAGCTGTTTTCATCCTCCTCCTCTTCCTCATCAAAGCTCATGCTGCTGGAGATGCCTATGGTGAGCAGAGACCATGGAGGGATGAGCAAGCAGACAGATTTTCTAGTGAGAATTTAGGCAGTCACATGTCAGTGTGCGTTCAGACACATGACTCACCTACTCCCAGGCGCTCATACAGCCATCTGCACACACCCTCACAGCGCTCATACAGCCATCTGCACACACCCTCACATTGCTGTATGCCCTCCCACTCATCCAGACACATACAGGGACACACACATGAACTGGGCTTGTCACGATTCTCTTTGGGGTGCATTCCCACCACCCGATTTTAGCTCAGTCCCTACATTGCACCCCTGCTCACTCTCAGGTACATCATCTCTATGGCTTATGTAGCAAAGCCTGAGCCGAGCCGACCCTGCACAGGGAACCTCCTCTTCTAAGGGCCACGGGTGGCAGACCCTGCACAGGGAACTGCATCTTCTAGGGGGCATATGGGTGGCATAGGCCACAGACCCCGACATGGACTCTGGCTTAGGTCCTCGCTTGGTCTGTGGGTGGCACTGACTCTGCTTTCCCAGCTTGGCCTGAGCCAGTCTCAGTTCTCCCTGACCCAGAATGCTACTCTGGGTGGCCTTAAAAGTTCTTTCCTCGTGAAGTAGTCTTTCAGTAGGTTCCTCATAGTGTGTCTGTATCTGCCGGCTGCACCCAGAACTCCCTGGAGTTAGGTCTCATGCTAGAGAAACTGGGTAGTGAGTTTCCAAGGAGGACCTTCGCAGACTCCCAGCAGCTCAGCAGACAAATCGACAACTTGTCCAAACAAAAGGGGGAAAATTCTGCACACGAACTGGGGCTTCATGGGAGCTACAGACAGGGTTAGGCTGCTGGCTGGCTACCCCAGTTCATACTTCTTTTTCTTAACTCAGCCTTGTGAGGAGCCCTGGCCCGAAACTTCTCATCTGACTCCAATAATGCCCCTCCCTCTATGACATCCAGGGATGGACTGGACCAAACATAAGGAGGCTATTTTCTTGGAGGAGAGTGTAGCTAAGAACCTGGGACTGAGCTTTGGTCCCAGCTGGGCCCCCACGGGGCTCACCCTTCCTCTGCATCGTGGCACGGAGGTCCTGCCCGCTGGGCCGTGTGCCCCCACCGGCTGCTGTCTCCCCTGCATCCTTGGCGTGGTCTGACTGTCCCACAGTCAGGATCTGCACTGGGCCTTGGGCCTCAGACTTGTCTTCTGCCAGAGTTGTTGGCCCGCTGGTGCCTGCAGGCCAGATACTCCTGAGTTACATCCAGAGGAGCGGAAAGCCTGGATTCTCAGGCGTCCAGAAGGGAGCGGGGCAGATGACAGGGCCCTCTGCAAAACCTTGTTTGCAAAATTGGCTTAAAAAAACAAACAAACTAATAACTACTGTCAGCCTGTTAATACTTGGGAAATTGTAAAGGGGCATGGGCTTCATTTCTTCTCTTCTTTCCCCCATGATACCTGCCAAGGGTTGGTTTGAAATACTCCACATCCTTAAGACAGACAATAACCATCTACAAAACCAACTGCACAGTGGGAAGAACAAGACAGGAAACAAAGATCAATGCAAGGCACAGTTGCGGGCAGTAGTGCTTCCCGGACACAGACATCTACAAGCTAGACATGCTGGTGTCCTCTCTTCGCACACTCCACACGTACAATACACTCGCGTATGTCATCAAAAATAGGGCCCTCCTCAAACATGATGGCTCGCCTAGTTGCCTTCCCGAGCACTAGGGCCTCCTGTCCCACGTGCCCTGTCATCTGCTTGCAGAGCCTGCCTTCTTTACATTCCCTGCCCGAGGGGCTGCAGCTTGAGTTACAGAAAAAGATCTGGCCCACGGGGAGCAGCTTCTCTGCCTGGGTGAGCTTGTCAGCTCTAAAAACTCAAGGATTCTGACACTCCACTATTCAACTATGACGCAATGGCTGGATATCAATGGCCTTGAACAAGGCTGGAAGAAACAGTAGCCAGGAAACAGGACTCAGGGAAGTGGCCACCATCATGTCATTGATCTCTAGGAATCTGTTAGACTGATGGGGCAGAGGGAACGCACCGGTACGTGGGTCAGAGAGTTCTAAGGATAGGGCAGGAAGTTGGGAGAAATCCACATGAGAAGGGAGAGCTGGCAACTGCTGTGGGAGCAGAGAGCTTCCACCGAAGGGAGCATCCTGGCTTGGGACTGGATGAGGGAGCTTGGGCTGAGGTAAACTGGGAGGAAAGGGGTGGTCCTGAGCCACAGCTAAGCAGTACTTCACTTCCTGGCAGTCTGGCAAAGCCTTGCACACCGCAAACTAGCCAAGGTACTCAGGAGCTAGCCAAAGCCTACTGATGGGCAGGCTCCCGCTCACTGAGCATGCTCATCCTGCACCACCTCAAGTCTGGAGGATAAGCTCTACCCCCACAGAAGCCAGGCCTCTAGCAGGTCTGAGGAGAAGTCAGGCTAACCTTTATGCTTTCCCTTCTTCTCCTTCCTAGGGGCCCCACCCTGGCCCCCCGATGCAGCTGCTGCCTTAGTTTTCTTGGCTGAGGCTGGTGCTGGTGGACGGGTGGCTCCCAGTTGCACACTGGCAAGCGAGTCGGCCTCTTGAACTGCTCAGGAGAGAACCCAAGACAAAAATGGGCATCGGGTGAGATTAGCGCTGCCACTTACCCGCAGGTCCCACCCAGCCCCGGTGCAGCTCTTCACCTGCATCATCAACCCACTCATCTTAACCAGCCATGGGTCAAGGGCAGGACCTCAGCCTTCTACAGTGTTGTCGACAGCTAGGAACCAAAGTTCTGCGCCTGGGCAGGTGCTGGGGTAGGGGTGTCATGAGAATGTGCCATGGAGGACAGGAAGGACATAAAGGCTGTGTCTTCTGAAAGAGACCGCAGACAGGACTCCTCCAGAAAGCCTGCAGAGCCCGTGGGATCCAGTGTAAGGGAGGAGGGGCTGTATGGAACGAAGAGCTAGGCACACTAACAGGGAACTACTGGGAAAGGCACAGCCAGTGTCCTTCACCATCTCCATATAGGAGGGCCCTAATCTGCTCAAAATCTATGACAGTTCTGAATGCTCAGAAGATGACCACCAACAGCCTCCAGCCTGATAGGCCCCCCCGCTCCTTCCTCAACCTCACCACACACTCTGCTACCCAGCGTGCATCCAGCTCCACCAGGCAGCTTTAGTGTCGTGCACAAACCACGTTCCTTTTATGTTAGCGTGTCATTGCCCGACTGTCCTTTCCATCTGAGTAATTCCTACTTCTGACTTCCTGGGAGCTCCAGAGAAGCTGTCCCCCACTGCCCAGTGAGAGCCAGTCCCTTGCCACCTCCTCGCACAGCCTGGCCTCTTCCCACAAAACACACTGCAACCACCTGCTGAACTCTCCCACCTAGACCGGAAGCTCCATGGCCAGAGACCACACTTGTCTGCTCTCTACATACCCACGGCCACTAGTCTGTATCCCTTCACTGAATACTTAGGGGATTCATGTGGGAGTACCACGAATGAGCTTGGCCACAGTCAAACACTGGGAGTGTCAGTTCCAGTCACTCCCTTAGCCACCTCTGGCAGAGTGCCTGCATTAACACCACCAGCCAGCAGGCGGCAGGGCGCGAGGTAGTTAGAGCTAGGGATGTAGTAAGCAGAAGCATGGGTCTTGCTCAAACAGCAGGTGTGCAGCAACCTCTCTCGGCTTTGTCCATCACTCAAAGCTGGACAAAGACAGAAGGCCCCAGAGAAACAGCAGGAACTTCACACATGTCCAGTGTATCCTATGGGGAAGACCTCTAAAGGCCTCACCTATTCTGACCCCAGTGGGGAACAGCAAGGACCTGAATTTGGGACCAGTAATCACTGTGGTTTCTTCCATTTTCAGAGTGCTAAGGCTGGCTCCCCCTTTTCATAAGTGAAGCAAAAAGTATGAGAGAGGATAAACAACTTGCCACATCCACGAGCAAGTCTTGCCATGGTAAGAGGCAGTGGCAAAGCAAGCCAGGTTGCACAGGACCAAAGCCAGTGGCTATCTTCCCTGAATGAAATCATAACATAGCAAACCAGGTACTTCATGCGATCCTCAGCCCTGACAAATGCCCAGGCACAGCTCTCATTATCAGGAATAAAGTGTGTTTCCTCAGAAGATGTGTGTGCGCATGTGCCAGCCGAGACCTACACAATAGGTGAATGACACCTAATTCCTTCCCTTTAAAACATCACGATGCTGTGGGGTGAACTAACAGCTGAGCTAGCAGAACGGGAAGAACCTGAGACACTGTAGGGTAGGGGGACAAGGTCTCTGGTCAGAGGAAGAAAGTCCTTCCTGAACTGCAAACAATACCTGCAGCTGAACGGTACTGGAGGCTCCAGGCAGAAAAGAACCCCAGAAGAACCACTTCCTAAGCTACCCACAAAAGCCAGGAAGGCGCCCATGGCCTAACTCCCAATTTACGTCTGCGCAGGGAAACAGCCACCTGCATGGCTGGCACCTCCCAGCAGAGGGCAGTAAAGACTCAGTCTGTCTAGCTCCTGTCCCCTGCCTTCTCTCTCACAAACCCTGTGGCACTGAACCCTGGAGAAAGCTGGGGAAAATCCTGGACACCCAGATGGGCAGAACGGGCTCTGAGATAATTCCAGACTGGGCTCTGCTGAATGCCAGGTGTAAGGAAGGCAGCCCTGAGGGATTCAGGCCTCAGCCAGGAGCAGCGACCTCTAGGTCAGAAGCCAGGCACACTGAGGAGGCGAGAGCTCAGAGAGGAAGAGGCAAATGACAGGGAGCATCTAGCCTGAGTAAGACAGGAAGCCGGGAGAGGGATTCCTCACAGGAGAGAATGCTGGCGGGCTTAGGAGCTCAGGGACAGATCAGAAACCTGGACCTTGGAACTCCCAGATCCATCAAGCTAGAGCCTGACACAACTGGACATAAACAGGAGCCCAAGGCTAAGGATATCTCTCTGCCTCTTTCACCCAGCTGTCCAGCTGAGCCAAACACAGATTCAGCCTAGGAAAACCCTACAGGGTGAATCCTGCGGTTCCCCCAAGTCCCCTGTATCACTGATCTCCAGGGTGCAGTACTGTGGCACAGGGGATCCCCTAGACTAGCTATCCCGGGGCAGAGGCACGGTGTACCTTGGTAGCTGGTGCTGCCACTGCTGCTGAGGTAGGACTCCACCAGGGGCGCTTGCTCCTCTGATTGCCGGGCCCGCCTGCTCCGGGGTCGCCCGTCTGCATTGGCTTGCACCATCAGGGGCTCCTGGCGCTTCTTCTTCTGCTTCTGCTCCAACAGGGCCCGCTACAGAGGCACAGGGCAGGCACAGAGGTGGACTGGCCCTCCACCTCCTCCAGGTGGAAGGGGTTCCCACAGTGGAGCTGAAAGGAGCACCCTGATCTCTGGGCTAGGTTCCAGAAGTTGGACTGGGGTCTCTAGCCTTCTCGGGGTAAGGACGCATGCTGCTGGCATCTGGTGACTGCCAGCTCGGCAGAAGAGGTGAGGACTAGAATAGGGTTAATACAATAAATAATATAGGGCTGATAAAACAGAGAGAGTTTACTTCTCTAACCATCTGACAGGGTCATCCAAAGAAGAGGGACTCATTGCTCCTGGACCCCTGCTGAGATTCTGCCTGCCCACCAGCCCCAGCCTTACTCACCTGCCGGTCAAGCTTCTGCTGCCTCAGGTTGCTGCCCTCATCATCTAGGACACTGCAGAGGGAGAGAAAGGTATTCAGGGCCGCCCAGTGAGGTTCCACGAGGTCCCACCCCCATCCTTTAACCTCCTTTCATGGTTCCCAGTGAGTCCATGTGGTGGAGGGAGAAAGAAGGGAGGCTGCTGTCTAGGAGCTAATTCAAGACCAGAAGGGGGTATAGAGCACTTGCCTAAGGCCCTGCATCTGATCCCGAGTACAAATAAAGAGTGCCTTCAAGACTGGGTGTGGTGGATCGTGCCTGTAATCCCAGCTCTAGGGAGATTGAGACGGGACGACAGGAGCTGGAGACTCATGGTCAGCCTGGAGACCCAATCTTAAAAATTAGAAAACAAAGCCCCCAAGCCACATTTCTGCCATGTTGGTAGCATCTCCTCCTTCATTGCCTTGAGGACTTCCGAGCTAGCCTGGCCCTGGTAAGAACAGGATGAAGACCCTTCCGATATCTAAGCAGAGGCAAGACTGACAGAAAACCAGAGGAACTCAAATCAGTCATTAGCCAATCCCAAGAATGCTGGCCTCATGCCAGGACTTGCCTCTGCAGTTCCTTACTATCTGCTTATCTGCTCTCTCCATGACACCTGCTGGCAGGAGCAGAAAGGTCTGACATCCAGACTGGATCTGGTTGGGCCCAGTGGCCTCTGATCCTGGCAGTTCTCTGCTAGTGGCCTGGTCTCAGAAGTCCCTGTGTGATCTCCAGAGGTAAGTATTGGCTTCTCTGTACCAGTGGGTGAGGCCATTTACCTCTGCAGAGGACAGTGCTGGGGACAGAGGCAGCTCCCTGGGTCATCCCAGGGACTGGTCTTGGCTAAGCAGAACAATGACTATGTCCTCAGTGCCAGTGAAATTTCTAGAGACATCTAGAAAAGGTAAGGTGAGCATCAGCAGAGTCATCTGCAGAGAGGCTCCAAGGCAGTGTGGCAACAAAGATGTTTCAGGAAGTGGTGACCTCACCACCTTGTGCCACAGGCAGGAGCTTTCCTACCACAGGAGCTGTCACTCTCCCTGGACCTTCCATGCAGTCGTATCTGGGGTTGAATGCTATTTTCCTTGAACGCAGTACTTCCTCTCCCACCATCCCCACATTTCCTGTTTGAGAAGACGGACAAAGACCCACAGGTTGTAGCGCTGTTCATTACCAGATAAGATACAGGTAGTGATAAACCAGCCGGCCTCCATCTTGGGCTTGTAGGCCGTCTTATAATAAAGACAGACTAGGTTCATTCCTATTTATAATTCAATCTATTTCTCAAGGATTGGGCTATGCCCCACCTGTAACCTTAACTACAAATGGTTCTGTGCTGCCTGTTCCAGGAAATGGCAACCATGCCTTTGTTTCGGGAGTTGTTAAGACCAACTTGTCATGCTGGTGTTCTGCTTCGGTGACCCTCCCCCCACTTAGTTGCCTGCCAAATACGCCCATTTGCAAACCCCCTACTCCTAAGCTACAAAAACCTTGTCTTCTCCACATCCAATGCTGATCTCTCAAGCCCCACCTTAGGGAGAGACAGCAGAGGAATATGAATAAAGCCTGCTTTAACTAATTTGGCCATGATTTGAGTCGGTGGTCTTTCTCCTCAAATCTGTGGGATTCACAGGAGAAGGAGCTTAACTGTGGCTTTCAGAGAAGTACAAACCAAGAGCACAGTCTCAGCGATTCTTGACGTCAAAGACCTCTCAGCAGAGTCCAGAGAGCCACCCACCCACTCACTCAGCATCAGGTATGCTCAAAGGGAAGGGTACATGCAGCATAACGGGTGCTGTTAGAAATGACCCCCTTCTAGGCCCAGCAAGCTGACCGCGGGAGGCCCTGTAATACCCGCCCACCCTTGTAACAGAGAGAAAGCCGGGTTTCTAGGAGAGCTGCAAGGATACTGGGAGATGACAATGGGGCAGTGACAAGCTTGTCCTGGGAGGTAAGGACAATGCATCTGGGCAAAGACAAGCTCCCCGATGAATAACAAAAGAATCCCCAGCACAGCAGCTTGAGGAACAGTGACAATAATGACAGCTGTCTCGAGGGGGAGCAGAACCAAAGCTCGCTCCCTGCCCCCACCCAGCTAGCCCTGCCCCTTGAGCTCCCCTTGCAGCATCATTCCTAGGGTGTCTGTCCTTCTTACAACACCTCCCAGGCCTGCTTCTTCCACGGGCACCGTTCTAGGCTGCACTGAATGATAACCATGCAAGGAGACATTAATGGCTTTTTAATGACTTTGGTTCCAAATACGGAATCACTGCCAAGCTCAGGCTGCCAGCTGCAGCCCCGCCAGGAAGCTCAGACAGAGACAGGGCACTGATGGATGGGTCTTCCAGCTGACCCTGGTGGCTCCTTCATTATGGTCACCTCCTACTGGAAGCCAGACCTAGAAGGCCAGAGAATGTTCTAGTCACTGGCTCCAGTCTTCAGTATCCCCCAATTTGGCTGCTCTATCCAGGGTTAAAAGGGTGGCAACTTCAACTCCCATAGAGACAGGCTATTACAGCCACCCTCTCCCCTGGAGGGACCAGACAGGTTTCTAGGGACTTGTGCTGTGGGCTGGAAAAGTACAGTATGGCCAGTATTATTAGGAAACCTGTTTCCATCCTTCTCTTCCTCCATCCCACTTTGTAAACTCTAATTCACCATCAGTACCAGAGGCCCAGGCCACGACAACACAGAGACAGACTCAGCCATCTGGATGCTCCATCCAAGCCCATTTTGCAGCCTGCCCCTTTTCTCCTACTTCATTCCTTCCCTCAGCCATAGCAGAAGCTGTTCTGAACCTAAAAATCAGAGCAATAGGCTATAAGGACAGGCCAGCCAGACTGGCTGCACCCCCTGGGCCAAGCACCAAAATGAGGGAAGTCTATAGCCATGGCTCCCACTGCCTAGCAGCTGCTTGGCACACAGTTGGAAATGGGGGCAGTTCCGTAGGTAAAAGGGGCTCTCTGAGGATGTGCCATCGCCTTCTGGTTAGGGGTTCCCAAAAACACTAGGTGAATTAAAACTGGCGGCATTGGCTTTGGCTTGGTAACTCAGAACTAGTGGGGAACACGCTCCAGAATCAATTTTGTTGTTTTAAGCAAGTACCATGGGGTTCTCTAATAATCGGCCATGCAAATGATTCTTGTGACCACAGCCAGTGATTTTCAAAGAATAAGACACTGGAGTTTCCAGAAGGAATTGCCTGAGGTTGTCAAAACAAGGCACCTGAGGCTAACCTGGCAGTAGAACTATGAGGTGTATGTGAGGGGGGAAGGGGAGGGTGTCTAACAAGCGCAAAAAGGATAGGAAACCAGAGTCTCGCTTAGACTCCACCCAAAGAAGAGTTTTCCAGTCACAACTGGCTGGTGGAAGATGTCCGACAGAAACGCAATATAATGGGGCAAGGAAACAGTGAGAGGGGTCTATGTGGGCCCCTGCACCCTGATATCCTCTGGGGCCTGGAGCTGTACCTTGCAGGGGTTCTGGAAGGGCCTATGTGGACCCTTGCAGTATGGTATTCTCTGGAGCTACACCTTGCAGGGGTTCTGAAAGGGTCTATGTGGACCCTTGCAGCCTGGTATTCTCTGGGGCCTGGAGCTGCACCTTGCAGGGGTTCTGGAAGTGTCAATGTGGACCCTTGCAGCCTGGTATTCTATGGAGCTGCACCTTGCAGGGGTTCTGGAAGGGTCTATGTGGACCCTTGCAGCCTGACATTCTCTGGAGCTGCACCTTGCAGGGGTTCTGGAAGCTTTGCTGTGATGAGAGAGCACTTAGGTGTGCTGAGGATGGGACCAGGAAGTTAGGGGAAGCCCTAAATGTTGTCTGAAGTGTGACATCGCATCGACTTAGAGAGGTAGCATTTTCTCTATGCTGGGTAGTGATGAAGGCTCAGCCAGACATCACATGATGTTCTTTGATCTCAAAGAGTTCATGCTTTGGTGAAGGAAGCCCTGAGCACTGCAGGCAAGAACACTGAAGATGCGTCTGAACGGACAGCTCAGCAGGCAGAAAAATGACTGCTCTTGCAGAAGACCTGAGTTCAGTTCCCAGCACCCATGTGGCATTTTACAACTCCCTGTAACTCCATCTCCTTGGAATGTGATGCCTCTACCAGCTTCCACCAGCTCCTGAATGCCCATGGTGCACATAAACTCTACAGGCACACACAAACACTCACATAGAAATAAACAAATACAAAAGCACTGAAGACAATATGCCTGAAGCCACAGTCCTTCCTCGGGGTTCTAACCACCTACAACTTACAAAAGGCTACAGAGCCATACACTACAGGCATCGGATACTCGTCAGAAATCCTGCTTAAGAGAAATGGGCAGAACTAGAAACGACTAGTAATGGGAAACAAAAGGCAGCACACGATTCTAGCTGTTGATCTTTATAAATGAAATGGCTCCTTTCTAAGTCAGAATGTGAGCTTAATCCACGATCATTATTAGACACTGAACCAAAATTGCCCCTAAGAAGATTAGCACCAACTATCACTGCTTTGAAGAAAATGAGCCGAGCCCAGGGAATGCAGGAGAGAGAACCATCAGCGGGAGAGAGAACCCTATCAGAAGAGCTAACTAGTCACACTCTCTCGGTCTCTCTCCCCCATACGCCACATTCCAGTCTGCTGTGCTGCGGCATTAGGGAAACCTCACACTAGTCGGAGCACGTGTGCACACGCTGCCCCCTGCCCAGCTGCCAAGAAATGCCTTGTCTTCTGTCCCAGTTTTCTGCCACCAGACAGACCTGTGGCTTTGCCTGCCATCAGCAGCCTAGTAATGCAAAGGGCCATTTGGATCTCCTCTCAATATGGGTCTCCCCATTGGGAAGTCCACTCAAGTCCAGTGCTTCTCCAGATTCTGTACCTGCCCAGGAAGACTGGACAGGGCAGGGGACGAGCCTTCTGATGACAGCCCCCCCCCCCCCCAGCTGAATACCTACCCTCCCAACACTACAGAACAAGAAGGCAGGTGACAGGAAGGGAGAAAAGAAGCAGGGTGGACCGCCAGGGTGTCAAGCTGCTTTCAGGGCTAGGATTCCAGGGTGCCAAGCTGTGCTTTCAGCTGAGTGTGGGAGGGAGAATGGGGGGTGGTTAGGCTTGGGCTGGGTTGAATGCCAATCACCCATTTCAGGATACCAATGCCCTGGACACTTGCGACAGATTTCTCAGAGACAATCTACCTCTCAGAGGTCTCTTTTCTCAGGAGCAGGCTGAATCCTCTCTAACTTGAGGTAGATTTTTTTTTTTCTCTACAAGCTTTGCAAGTTGCTTTAGTCCTTGGTTTCCCGGCACAATCAACCCTGAACCACGGCCAGCCTAGCCTTTCAATTGTCAATACCTAAGCATGGCATTATCCCACAGTGTAGCCTGTGGCTGGCCACCCCCCTACGGCTGGACCCCTTGTAGCGGCTTCCACAGCACTGTGTCTGTTCTGCCCACAGGCACCACTGCTGCTGGTAGACAAATGGCCACTGGTACTCTATAGGGTTGCACCAACTTCAAGGAGGTCCTTAGCGCACGTGAGCCAAGGAGAGAGCAGAATGGTCCCAGCATTATCTGCATCCCCAGCCTGGATATATGTCAAAGGCAGACGGTCTTTTGAGTTAGTAGAACCCAGTCCCCAGTTCCCAGTAAGCATTCTCCCTTATCCATGTGACACTGAGGTATGGGCTCACATGTCTGCAGGAGATCTTGAGTATGACTCTCTGTGCACATGTATCTGTGTGTGTGTTCCTGTGAAGACAGAAAATAACTCAAGAAGCTCCCACAGAAGCTGAGCTCAGAGGCAGTCACCATTTTCAAAAAAAAAAAAAAAATCCCTGAATTCCCAGGCCTATGACAGGTGCTTGTTGGCAGAAAGTCCTGCTTTTAACAAGCTTCAGCCAGTTCTAGCTGGTTTCTATTTGGGGTTCTTTCTGGACTCTGTCAGAAACACTTTCTGTCAGTGACTGGGCTCAGCATCCTTGCCTAGGGCACGTGGGTCCTGAGTGTCTGATTCTGCAACTCACTTTATAAGCACCTGGGTCAGAAAAAAAAAGTGGGTCTTGGCAGTCCAGGAGCCTCTTTACACACAGGCCTCTCCAGGAGGCTTAGAGAGGCCGGTAGCCCATGGCAACTAGAGAGCCAATGAGTGGCCACGGATGTGGCGCTGCTATGGCAATGAGCTCTTTTCCCTGGTAATAGAATTGAGTAGAGTGGATGGAGAAAGGCCTGCACCTGTGTGAGCTGGAGACCACCCCTCCCCCACCTCCCCCACAAAACCTTGGGCCTGACATAGGTCTGACCAACCAAGAATTCAGGAACAGAAGGTGGGCCAGGGCTCGTGAGTGCACGTTTTTCTGTATTATGAGCTAGTAGTCCCTTTAACAAGCAGGTTACTACTACTGAATCTCTGAAAGGTACTGAATAGTACTTGTGAATAGGTAGTATGCCATAGTCCTGTACGGATGTGAATATGCACAGATTTGTAAGTGTGCACCCGTGTGACCCAAGGATTAAGGTCTACGGAGAAATATGGGTACATGTATATGTAAGCTGCCTTGTGGTCTGGATTCTGTCTCACAAAGCTACATGAGCATCTTTGGCCCAGCGCGCAGATGCCTTGTGTGTGCAAGCGTGAAGATGCAGGGGTGTGTGCGCACAAGCTATCCAGGCGCATGTCCTGGGTGCTGGGCCTAGGAGGCGGCTTACAGCAGTTCCTTTCTCCATGTGCCACCAGACTCAACAAGGCCAGAGATCCTTTCAGAACCCCGAGGAAGGTGGAGCAGGGCAGGAGGCTTCAAGAACCTCAAAGTTGGGATGAAAAACCTCGGCATCTCCAACCTGTGCCCTCGGTGTTGGAAAGGATGCGGAGGGCATTAGTGCCCTGCTTCTAGGCCAGATGGCCCGACCGACGCTGCATCCCGATCCGGGGGGAAGGTGTACGCCCTGGCAGCGAGCTACCGCCCTCCCCCAACCCTCAGCGTTGTAGTGGGGGTTCCGCACGCGCCCCGGGGCCAGGGAAGCCGGGCCCTCGTACCTGTAGGGAATCCAGTCGGAATGCGGCTTGGAAGTCATGTCTCCCGGGGGCGGGGCGGCGGCTGCGGCTTCCAAGGCCGGGACCGCTCGGGGCTGGCGCGGGGACCCTGCTCAGCTCTCGGGCCGCCCCGGACCGCATCCTCCCGGGCCCCGCCGCTGGGCCCCGCCGAGGCCCTCTCTGCACGCCAGGGCCCCGGCAGCGAGCTCCCAGAGCGGGTGCCTGTGCGGTGCGGCGCAGAGCAAGAAGCAGCGGGAGTGCGCGGGACCGCGGGAGCGCGCAGGCTGGAGCGTGCCCGAGGCGGGAGAGGTAGTCTGCACCGCAGGCACCGGGTCTCGCGCCCAGGGCTGAGCTCTTAGTGGCAGTCGCCGCCCCGCCCCTGGTCCCGCCCCAGCGGAGACCCCACCCCGGCCCGTGGATGCAGATCGCGCAGCGCCCACCCTCCTTCGGGAAGGACGCTGTCGTCCAGCCCAGTTTCTCCCTTTAGGACCTCAGCTGTCTCAGATTTACCGGGCACAGGACAGAGTAGGGGGACTCCAGTTAGAGATGTCTGAGAGCCTTGGTATGAGTAGTGAGGCCTGCTTCCTTCTCAACTTTCCATTTCACACTTCAAGTGCCTGCCTCCAGAACCTTCTGATCTTTAGTTTTAGTAAAAGTGTTTTCTCAGCCAGGGTCCTTCTTTGGGAACTGACACTTCCCATCATCGCTTCCACAACCAAGAGGAAGGTTATGTTAACTTTTACACTCGAGCTCCTTAGAAAGTTAGAGTATTAGTGGGCGCGATAGCTTTGAGAAGCAAATATGTTATCCCATGTCCCAAAGAATGAAGTCCGAGAAATGCTAACAGACCTAAGGGCAAAGAGCAAGGACTGGCGCTGAAAGTGAACCAGGATCTCCTTCAAAGTTCTTTTAGAGGACAGCAAGACCTCAAGAAAGATCCTCTTAACCTTGAATGCTGATGAGGCCCCAGCTGTGACCAGGACCCATGGTTAATAACAGGCCAGGGGAAGGCAGGATGGAAGATCCATAGCAGGGCTAGCTGGAAGCAGGGAGAGGCCAGGCGCTCAGCGACACAGCAGGCTGAAAGGCCAGCCTGAACCCTGTAGTACAGATCAGGGAAGGAGTTACTGATTAGCACAGACCCTACACAGTTCCTGGGTGTCCTCAAGTGGACATTGGGCTCAGCAGCACCAGACAGCCAGAAAAGCATCCATAGGGAGAAGCTCTGGCAGGGCTGGAAAGAGTGTGGGAATGATGCTCATGTTTAGGGTGGGGTCCCATCTTACTGCCCTGGGGCGGAGCCAGGATCCCCACCCGGGGCTTCTTCCAGCTTCTCAGCATTGCCTCCCCTATAAACTACAAACACAATAATGATGATCAGTGGGCTGTTTGCTGGGACTTTGTTGGGTGAGATCTGTATAACCTCACTAATCCTTACCACCACTCTAGAAAGTGTATTAATATTATACATATTTTTCAGCAGAGGAAACCGAGGCACAGAGAAGACAAGCGTCATGCTCAAGGTCACATAGGTGGTCATTCACAACTGTCAGCCCACATTCCTCACCCTCTGCTTCTTAGTAGGACATGCAGTGCACGCGTGTAGACTCCCAAGTCCCTCTCTGTCTAGGTAGGAATCTTAGCTCTCTGAACACTGTTATCTTTGAATATTTGCAACCTCTTAGGGGCTACTACTGTCACCATGAACCTCTAGAAAAACAAAAACAACCCGAGAGTAGGGTGCAGTGCAAAGTGCTGCCTTGCTTTCAGGTCTCGTTCCTGGTCTCCACATAGCCTCCCAGGAAGGGCAGTAGAGAGGGGCTGGCTGGTGCCCCCTTTCCCTAGCAGGTCATAGCAAAGCTACCCCCCCCCCGAGGCATCTGCCCTTCGTGTGCAAGAAGCTTTGACCCCTGAACTCCCTCTTGCCCAAGCCACCTCTGCCGGAGTTATATGTATTTGCTGTCTACCTCTTCAGGATGACAAGCATCTGGGAGACTCTCCCATCATGACTTTGAGGCTGTGTTTTCCCCTTTCTTCCCAAATTATCTGACACCTTAATGCAATCAGAATTAAGTTAGAAGGTCTCAGGAGCCTGGAGTAATTGAATCTATTAAACAGACTTCAGGCTCTGTCCTAAGGGAGCAAAATCTGGAGGTAGAGTGAGGTGCAGAAATAAGACAATTTCTGTGCCTTCTCTTTCGGCAGGAACCGTGTGTACACATGGGATTTGGAAGAACCAGGAAGACTGTGCCGGTGCGTGTATGCATGTATGTGTACCTAAGGATGTGTATGTATATGAGATGTGAAATGATCAAGAGCTTGTGTGCATGTATGAGGATATGTGTGTGTACATGTGTGTGAACAGTGTGTGAACATGTATGTGTCTAAGTATGTGGCACACCATATATGGGGAAGCCAAAGATCTGTGTGACCGTGTGTTCGTGCGCGTGTGTTTGTGTGTGTGTGATGTTCAAGAGAAAGGGAACCATGTGCTGCTACATAGGTAAGTTTGTGAGAAGCCATTGGAGACTGTGTCAGTGTGTGTGTGTCTGTGTGGGGAGAGAGAGAGAGTCAGTCCTGAGTCCTGTCAGCCCCTCTACAGACAGAGCAGGTCTGTTTTTATAAGTGGTGGGAGAGGAGGATGTGGGGGTTCTGCAGGGTTTGTAGTGTTCATACTCAACTTCCAACTCATGGCGGATTTTCTCAACTGAGTGGCATCCCTGGCTCACTAAGTTAACCCTGGTACTTCCACCAAAAAGCTGGCACATGCAGAATTTTATACCAGGCCACGACTAAACATTGTACCTTTTTACAGTTGCGCTACATAAGTGACTTTGAAGAAGGGCATCTCTACTGAAACACTCTACACAGCAAATCCAGCACCCTTCCTCACCACTGGCCTAAACACTGTAAGCATGGAATATCTGCTAGGTTTAAACTCTCCTCATCACACCTTAGGCATTTTTAAAGTAGAGACAGTGTGTGAGGGGCATGCCATCTAAGCTGGAGCACCTCGTGCCAGCTCTTCTCCACAGAGAAGTTCACCTAGAGAAGAAGGTTTGCATTCTGGCCCTTTGTTACTGCCATGGAGAGTCTTACGTCTTCAATGCTGAGCACATGTTTATTGAATGAGGCCACCGCTCTCCATTTTGGAAGCAAAGGGACATGAATAATAAATGAATATGTATGCAGAATGGGCTCTGCCTAGTGGCTTGGCATTTAGACCTTGCAGTCTGACAAAAGCAATCCAAATCAATCAGACGTCTATTAGACCTTACCGGGTCTAAGGCTGAAGCAGGGTTTGGTGGCTTTGGCAGGGATAAGGAGCAAGGCTGCTTTCAGGGAATTGTCACTCTTGCAGAGGAAATAGGGAGAGATGATGACTATATCAGTAACCAAGTGCTGAGGGAGGGGAGACCAGAGAAGGAACAACCAATGATACGGGAAGGAGGAAGAGCACAGAAAGACTTGTGATGAACAGAAAAGGGGAATGATTGATTGGGCCTTGAAGAATGAGGAAAAAATTTATAGACAGTAAGGAAGGAAGGGGGGAAATGAATAGTTTATGGTAACTAATTTCTAGTTACCAAGAGTCTATGGATACCAGATACTATGCTCTCTGCAGACTAGGTGTCATGAGCAACGTCACCGACACAGAGGACTATGTTCTCCAGTGTGCTGGTCTGTGCCGAATGCTTCCTGGTGGCAGCAGATGGGCCTAGACAGTTGAATGAAGCTAGATCATTTGCTAGGGTGTTTGGGTTTTATCCTGTAACCAATGGGGAGTCACTAAAGGGCTTTGAGCTGAGGATAAATGGCCCAGGAGTAACCTTTAAACAATTATAATTGGGGACAAGATAACCAAAAGGAGATAAGGCTCATAAATGGTATAGAAAACTGCTAGATGGCTAGTAGGGAATAAAGACCGAAATGAGTAGGGTGAAGACAAAATGTGTATCAATAGGAACACAGTTCTGCTTACAAGATTAAGAATCTTTGATGAGCTTACAATGTGAAGAACTGGCTAACAAGACGGGGTGTCCTTTTGAGCTCCCCAGCATGCTCAAACATTCCAGTGCTTTTCAAAGCTGTGGCGTAGATGGTAGCGTGGCAGTGGCCAGACAGTTTCCTGTGTAAGTCCTATTTAAAGAGCTCCATCGCGGCTGACAATAGAGAAGGAAACAGGTGCACGGCTGTCTTGATCACACGCGGGTAACAGCTACTAGAGAAACAACCTATCTATTTTCCAAAGTGCTGCTGAACACAATAGCAGATAATCCCATAGACGCAAGCATAGTGTTCAGGGCTCTCAGCTCTGAAGGCATAAAGCAAAGACCAAATGTAACAGTTATGAAGTCAATGCATGATAAATAGAAAACCGCTGGGCTTGAACATGCAGGGCTGTCATTTGCTGAGTGTGTGTCTATGCCAGGCAGTCCTCTGTGTAGTTCATAAAAAACAAATCTGGGTGAATGGTGATGAAATAGAATTCTGCCCTAGGTTCCGGTCAAAGGTATGAATTAATAGATTGCTCATTCAAGAGAGAAGGGCAACACACTAAGTGGGACTAGGAAGAGCCTGGGTCTGTGCTAACACCCATCTTGGCACATCCGAAGAGAGGCTACAAAGAAGGTCTGGGGAGGTTTAGAAGGAATCTTAGAGAAAGCCTTAGGGCCTTGTGACTCCTAATTAATTGGAAAGTATAGAGGAAGCTTTGCTTTCATCTCAAATCAAGTAGATGAGACTTTTCCAAGACCAGTAGTGGAATTTAGTGTGTGGCCACAATGGTCTTGGGGCACAGCGGACAGACAATGGATCTATGCCTGACAAATACACAGTAATGACTTGCCTCTTCTCTGATAGCAAAGAGGCTGCTGAGAACTCAGTATAGGCTTGTGCCCCAAGTTTGCAGGACAAAGGGCACAGGAGTGGTTCTTGTAGGTTGACCCTGACACCAGCAGGATAGCTTTGGCTTAGATGCAGGCCAAATGGTCCCCCAGAGTGGGAGGTGATGATACCAGGGAAGGAGCAAGCATGAGTTTTCTAGGACCTGAGAATGGAACTTGAGAAGGAGCTTTAGGGAGGGACTCAAGGACATCAAGGACTCCGATAGAAGGACCCCCAGTGATAGAATGCTCTCCAGGATCCCACAATAACACTCCAAAGAGAGATGGCCAGAAAAATAGCAGCAGCTCCTCAGTATAGTCATGGAAGAACCCTGACCCCCTCTCCTCCCATCTCTAAGAAGCCAGGAAAGGGCTTAGATAGTTCTTCGCAAGTTCACCTGCTCCCTGAAGGAAGCTGTTCTATGTTACACTGTACTGGGAAACAGTTGTTAAAGCAACCGAAGTTCCAAGGATCT